TTCTTATTTTAAGAAGTTTTGCTAACCCTCTTTTGGATTTTCAAACGTGTTCTTCTCTCCATCTTTTCACAAGAATTCAATTCCAATTCAATTGGCTGCTTTTCTTTGTACAATACAAATTGCAATCTTCATCTCATATTTAAAGATTTTTGGTCAACTCTTGCTAATCTTATTCCCCAAGGCTCCACATATTTGAGACTATTCAAACCCCCCCCCTCCCCAACACCCTCCCCAATTCAAATATTCAACCCTTATTAGAAGCCTCTAGACATTCAAGAAATTCATATGATTCCCCAAACCCACCTCTATATAACCCTTATCTCATTTCATTTTTTTCCATCTCACATCCTTTTTTTTTTTTTCCGCTCTCTCTCCTCCCATATTCATTCCCTCTCATAATCAAGAAATAAAATTAAGTTACAAACAAGAGAATTAAACATGGGCACTCTAGTGGGACATGTAGCACCTGGAGTTGGTTTCTTTTTCATAGGACTGTGGCACCTCCTTAATCACATCAAACTCCATGCACAAAACCCAAAATCCTACACGTCTTTGCCATGGTTCCCCACTTCAAAATTCAAGTATTTTGAGCTCTACATGATCATGGTAGCGTGCACTATGTCCATATCCATGGAGCTTTTTATTGGGCCCGACCGTCACCAACCACTCGACCCCGATGGAACCATACCTTCTAACCATCTCCATAACTTTGAACATTCTAATATTTCCATGACCTTTTTCATGTATGCTTTCTTCTCAATTCTATTAGATAAATTTTCACCACCAGCCCAATATGGCCTCACCAATTTTCTTGCAGCCGTCGCCTTTGGCCAACAACTCCTCCTCTTCCACCTCCACTCCGCCGATCATATGGGTGTTGAGGGCCAATATCATTGGCTACTTCAAATTGCAATTTTCATTTCACTTGTCACTACCCTTTTGGGCATTAAGTACCCAAAAAGTTTCTTGAATAGCTTTGTGAGGTCCCTTAGTATTTTGTTCCAAGGAGTTTGGCTTATGGTCATGGGATTCATGCTCTGGACCCCGGAATTGATGCCTAAGAATTGCTTCATGAATTTGGAGGTCGGTCACAAAGTGGTCCGGTGCCACGGGGAAGAAGCCCTTGAACGTGCCAAATCCCTAGTAAATATTCAATTTAGTTGGTATGTAATAGGTGTAACAATTTTCGCCGTCTCACTTTACTTGATTATAATAAAATTATATCACGGAAAGGTCGACTACCAATCCATCATGAGATTCGAAGAACAACAAGAAGAGAATGATGATGTCGAGGCACAAAAGAGAGGCAAACCCGACGAGACGAAAAGTTTTCTTCCTGTGAGAAATTCATTTATTGCTATGGATATAGAAAGGTAGAGTGTTTAAAAATGGTGTGTTGGATTTGATTTGGTATGTGTAAAAAGATAGGGTTAGTGAGTATTTATTTTGGTTGATTAAGGCCACAAATATGTTGGCTTAATTAGTTGAGCAAATGTCTCATGTCCCACGAGGATAAAGAGAGTGAACCAAGAAGCGTGTGATTTGTTCTTTTTGTTTTGTGGGTGGGGGGG